CTGTATTTTCTGTTAAAAAATTTCAGTTTTTTATGGTATCTTGGGGTTCCTCCACTTGTTCTATATATTCTTTATTGTTGCATAAACTCCATAACTTGATTTCAATAGATTTCCATTCAACTATGGTTTCTCCTAAGTAAAAGACTTTTCTTATAAAAGCTTTCCTAGTTTTTTTATTCTTGAAGCTAATTATTGCAAATCTTTTTTTTTGTATAAGAAGTATCTTGAAATATAATATACTTTGGCCTTGGTTTATTTGCATATACTGTATGTCTTAGATCAAATGCTATTATATTTGACAAAAAGTTAGTGAGTTTGGCTATTATAATATCTCTATTTTTATTTGTACTATACTTTATTGAACATCAAAAAATCCTGATTGAGTCAACTCTGAGTGAGACACTCTATTTATTAATGACTATATTCTTATTTTTCTTGTTTGTATAGATTATTGTATCAGTTTGGCACATCTGTTGAGTTGTTATAGTAATGTTAATAATATTACCATATTTAGCAAAGACTTTTTATACTTCAATAAATTTAACTTCTAGTAATATATTCTATACAATGATAATACTTTCTTTTTTTGTGCCAAATATATGATTGACATGTATTCAAGATACATATTACTTGTATTTGACAAGATTATATTGCATACCTTATTTATAGTTTGTTTGTTATCAAAATACCTATAATGTATTTATTCTCATTTTTTCTTTTACTGAAAATAGGCATAAGACCTACAAGAAAGTCTAAGCTCTTAGTAAAAAAAGTAACTTTTTGGCTTGTTATTTTATCTGGAATTGTACTTGCTCTGATCTTTATCTTGGCTCTTTCTCTTTTAAATCTGTTTCTTTCATTAAAGAAAGATCTGAATCTGGATCTACTGAAGTTATTAATTTGAAGAATGTTTTCATTGATTTTTTCTTTCATTTCTATTTCTATATCTAAGTCAATGTTTTGTACTCTATTTCTATTTTCTTTTTGTTGTGCTATTAGAATTTCTCTTGAGTTTTCTGTGCTGGATATACTTTTTTAATTAATTAATATTATCAAGATTTTTTTTTCTACTTGTTTATTTTAGATAGAGTTGTCAATCATTATTTTTCTAACTTCAGTACTATTTAGACCTTAAAAAGTTAATTGTTATTTATTGTTAGGATTTTTCATATGCTTTTCTAATTTGTTTTCTTTTCTCAAAACTGTCTTTTCATTGTTTTTATTGTTTTTTTTTTTCAGATATCCAGATTCGATTCTTTGTATATATTTCTTGTGTTACCTCTTACCAAAATATTCTCATTATAGTTGGGTTACTCTGAACTATATTGTTTTCTAGGTTCTCTTTGAAGACTTACCTCTTTCATTCAATTTCTTTCTTTTTTCCCAAAATTATTAAAAAAGGAAATTTTTAAGAAAAAAAGGATCAATGGAAAAAAGTTTGAGTAAAAATTTAACTAATAAAAAAATTTAATTGTATTTTATAACCAATAGTTTATTATTTTTTAAAAAATTTGGTATATTATTTTGATTTTATTTATTTTATTTTTTTTTAATGGGTGGTTTATATCTTGTTTATTAAATATTATTTATAAATATGTACAAATTTATTTTACATAAATTTAACTCTCTGGCTATCTAATTAAACTCACTAAGGATAGTTCTATTGTGCAGCTTATTGTTAAGTACTGATATATACTTAACTAATTTATTAAGGCTCTATCTATTTTATAAAAACTTTGTTTTAAAAAAATATATTGTATTCCAGTTGATATTATATTAACTAGAGTGTTTTATGATTTAATTAATTCCTGAAATATATAATTTGTGTATAATAGTTTTTTTGTCTAGTGTTTTTCATTTCTTTTTATCTTTTTTGATTATATTTTGATTTATTTCTTACTATATAAAAAGTTCATATTTCTATTGTTATATACTCTAAAGAGTAATTAAAAATATATTGACAATGTTATTGATAGTTTCTTTTTAGTTTTCATTTATTGTTTATATCTTTATTATTTTAAGAAGATCTTTTGTTAATGCCCCTTGCAATATAACTTTTTTTTTCTTAAATCCAGCCACTTTCTATCTTATTTAGTTTATTGGTTAATATTTTTTGAAGAATTTGTTGTTTTTTGCTACTAATCTACTTATTGACAATTTGGAGAAATGTTTTAAAAATGTTTGCTTTATTGCCTTTGCATATTATAGCATGAGTATTTATTCTAATGTATTGATAGTTAATACAAAGATTGTCTATATAAATTGTTACTGCTTTTTTGTGAATATTGACTTTGATTAGTAGTTCTAAATTCCAAAGTCTTAACCTAAAAGATCCAATATTGTGGTTAAGTCTATTAGATATATTAGTTATTATTAGAGATAAGCTATATTCTTTATTAAATATATTATATCGCTGATCCTCTGACTACACACAAAAAAGACGTTCACAAGAAGTTTTCATACTTCTATGTTAATAAAACCTTAATACTTTCTTTAAACCAACTTGAAAAAATTTCAAGAGTCATCATTACTTCCCTTTCTTCTTGTTAATACTCCTCTTTAAGCAAAAACTTGACCACTAGTGACCTGAAAGTCAAGACAACACCTTTCCTACCAAGGGCAAGAAAGTTCTGAAAGGAAGAAGAACTAATGTGCCATTATCTCACACCATAGAGAAACAACACAGAAGTTCTGTAATGATGAGAGACAGCTTCCCCACTTTCTTGTCATCTGTTTGACTTCTCATAGTGCTCGTTCAGGGTTTTTTCTGGGGAATTTTGCCTACCTCAGTTTAACCCTGAATATTGAGTAGCACAAAGTTTCTCACACCGTGATTGAACAGATAGAGATCACATTAGTAAAAGAAGTAAACAAGCTCCTATTGGTCACATCACATGTCTGAATGTATTTTCTCAGCTCCATAAGAACCTGGGGTCTACCATAAGTCAATCTGGGATGCAGGTGGATACAGGACAAGCAAAACTCCTAAATCAGTGGTATCTTGGAAAGAGAACTATTGGAATAGGATTCATCGGATAGCCAACAAAGACCTCTCCCTCCTTCTCCTCTCCAACAAACATAACAACACCTGGGATAGTATCTTTTTGGAGGATTTTGATACTTCCAAATTCTCATTGTATACCAACATATCCTTCGAACACAACCACCTCTCTTAAAATTTTTCTTTGGGATGATATGTCTCACCTGAGCACATTTGTTAAGGGGAATCTAGGAGGATCGACAGATCTTTTTTCCCGGTACATGAATTAGATTGATCCAAGTTATTCTCCTCGACAACAAGCCATCCCGTGGATTGGAGTGGCCAGAATTTTACAACATGGAGACACTGAAAGTAGCCAAGAAACAGGCAATACACTCTCGACCAATGAAGTCCTCGAAGAGTAACCAGCTTACAGAGTCAAAGTGGTAGTAGTAGCGTAAAATTCTTAACTACTCACAGACAATTCTAGGAGTGTTTTATTAATAATTATTTCTTGTATATGCATTCATTTGCCATGTCTTGAAACTTTAATAAAACAAGGCTAAGTCGTCATTTCAAAAAAAAAAAAAAAAAAAAAATTAAATATATTATATGATGTTAAGCACATCTTAAAATTGTATAACAATATAAATAATATATTACATATTATAATATTGTTATATAAACTAATTATATTACTATAGCTCAACTATTTTTAATATAATAAAAACTATCTAATTATATAATTTCTATATACTGTATAATAACTAATAAAAAAGAATATATGATATTATTTGTATTTTTCTCTAAATAATTTTTAAAGTAATTTGGTTATTAGATGATTATATACTCTAACCTGTATTATGATTTTAGATACTTCTATATAGTGCTAATGAATTTCTTTTTTTATCAAGATCTTCTGATTACTAGACTTACAAAAATTCAATAAGTATATATTGATATATATATGACTGGTGTATAATTTACTTTTTTGACTAGTTAAATCTAAATAAAAAATATCATTTAAGATACTTTTATATTTGAAGTAAAATTTATTATCAAGAATTCACTTATTTATCCAATCTTTAAGAAAATAATTTTTCTGATTAATAGATAAGTTTCTATATGTATCATAGCCCCTTACAATTAAACCAAAGGAGTTGTTAATAAGATTACAATTTGTTATTAAAAATGAGCTGTCTGGTGTTGATCTACTAATAGAATAGAACAAATAATTGTCTGATTTATTTTGTTATGATAATTTAATAACACTAATAATTAAGTCCATATTAAATTATTAATACAATATTGGTATTGATGAGCTTTGTTACATTGTCTGTAGTAATAAAATAGATAATATTTCACTTCTTTTTTGAAGTTTTTGAAATCTTAACTTCCATAGCTATTAGTTTATATATACGATTGAAGTATCTTTTTCTTGTTGAATAACTATTAAAGACTTCTTTACAGACTATACACTTATATACTTTTGAAGGCAGAGGTTGTAAGACTTTAGATTATTTATATATAGTTAGATCTAATTTTTTTCCTTAAAGTCAGTTTTTATATAGTCTTTATTTTCTTTTCTTTTTAGAAGAACCAGTGTTTACTTGCTAGGTAAAGATGGTGGTTTATTTAGAATTACTAAAACAAATAGAGGAAGCCCTTCCAATTTATTTTATAAAGAGCTCTTTAACTTGAGATAACTGTTTAGTTAGTTTTGAGTATTTGAAAACAATATCATAGAGAAGACTAATCTCTATAGAAATGTTTATTATGATATTAGTTTATATAAAAACTTCATTTCATGATTTACTTTTGTGAAAATTTTCTTATAAGAAAATTTTGTTTTTGAAAAAGTGATAAATCATATTATTTTATTTATATATTTTATAGTATTTTTATCTTATTATAAAACCAATAAATTAATATTCTAATTTAAATAAATTATAAATATGGTGTATAATTTCTTTGAGAGATATTTAGGTTTGCTATCACATTTATAATAACTTGTTGAATCTCAGGCTTCACTATCTCTAGTAATCGGTGAAGAGAGATTTAGATTTTTTTTATCTGATACTTGTTTAGCAATATTATATATCACTTTATTGATAATATATGTCTTGGCATTAGCTTTACTATTGAGTAAACTTTTATCTTTTATAAAATCAAATTTTTTTGCAACCTTATAAGTGATAATTAAACATTTTAAGCCTGAATTGACTATGCCCTCTGCAACTTCATTATTGACGTCAATCAAATATCGTTTAAAGTTTTTTATGGATTCTTCCATTGGGTTGTTATCAATATTGTTATTAGCTTCAGTCATTGTAAATGTGAAATTATTATTTATCAATACAAATTTGAAAGTGTAAAATTAAATATATTGATATAGTAAAGTATCACTATGAAAATTTTATCTTGCAAAATTAATAAAGCATCAGTAACCATTATATTGGATTCTGGTATTAATTATAATATTATAAGTAAGGAAATAGTAAATAAAGTAGGCTTAAAAATCAATTATACCTGTAATGTAAAAATATATAATCTCATTAACAAGATCGATATATTAGTAATAATTTGTGAAATAAAGATTTTAACCATATTTCAAGATCCTAAATGAAAACAAGTAAAAATTACTGATATTTTTATTTCTAATGAACTACATCTTAAATTTATACTAGTATTAGGTTATCCATGATTTCAAGAAAACATGATGAAAGTAGATTTTTCCAATAACACTCTTACATTACTTGATAGAACTAATGTATCCGTTATTAAAACAAAAACTCCACCACCTACACAATTTAATCAATCGGTGAATGATTATTTCAAGAAGATAAAGGTATATGCTACAACATTGAATATGATTTAGATAATCAAAATCTTAAGAAGACTTTCTTTAATAGTTTATTACAAGAAAATAAAAAAGAGGTGGTTAGATTCAGGACAAAAAAACCTCTAAATGAAATAGTCAATTACTTAAATAAAATCTTATTCAAAAAATAAATTCAGCTAAAATTATCCAGGGTATAGCAATTAAATACTTCTATAGGCCTGAAGATCCTTTATGAAGCAAGCCAAAGATCGATATTATTAACGAGTAAAGTTACTTTTAAAAACTGATAACTAAACATGTGAACCATTTATCTAAATATTAGTTGTTTTTTCAATTGAAGATATACATTACTTGAGAATAATGCAACAGCTTAATATTTTTAATTTACCAGAATTGCTAGCACAGGTCTTATATTTTTTAGAAATAATTTATTCCTCTATCCCACTTTATTTGTTAACCACTTTTGGTATCATTGTGGTGCTCCTATTCTATGAAGTCATATTGAGTTTTATTCAGAAAAAAATTATCAGAAAGGTCCATATGGTCAAAAGATGCCTTGAGCTCTTACTTGACAATTGATAAATTTTAAAAAAGTCATATGTGGAAAGATAAAGCCAACCTATCACTCCAAGAAAGTATATCTCAGATTATAAGGTTTAAAAATTAAAGATGCATTGATTAGTGCAATTCTACACTTATGTCCAGATATACGCACTCTCATTCTCAATCAAAGTGATGGTTTCTTTAACATATCAATTATAGAAATTGTGAGATATTCTCTGAAATTATAGCATCCAAGTCTTAATTCATATATACTGTATGTCTTACTAATCAATGTATTATTGAAATTGTTCGCTCATGCTCAAAACTTAGGCATATTGAGCTTGGCAACTATCAATTGGTAATAAAACTGTCAAGGAAATAGCTAGTAACTGTACTAATCTAAAATATCTTAGTTTGGAGGGATGTAAAAGGATTAGTGAAGAAGTAATGAAAAAATTTGATCTAAAAATTAAAATTGAATATCCTGATTATTCAGATGAAAAATGGTCTAATCCATCTATTCTAATCTTTAGAGGTCCATCATTAGATAGAACAAATTTAATTTCTACAATCAATGATTATATCAGGAAGATTAGTAGAACTATTCCTAATCATTTATCATTGATTATAAAATATCTTGACTAGTCAAATATATTTAATGCAAAAAATAATATATAAATGTATAAATCAAATAAATATAGCAAATTTAAACATTTTTTCAGCAAAGATACAGTATATAAAACATAATATAACAAAAACTCTTTCTATTGATCCTCTAACTACATACAAAAAAGATGTTTACAAGAAGTTTTTATACTTATAAACTAATAAAGTCTTATCACTTTTCTTAAACCAACTTAAAGAAGCTTCAAGAGCCATTAACTACTTTCCCTCTTATTGTTTACTCTCCTCTTCAAACAAAAACCTGACCTCTAGTGATCATAAAAAGTCAAGAAACACCTTTCCTACATATAATAAAAAAGTTTTGAAAGGAAGAAGAATTAAGGTGCCATCACCTTGCACTATAGAGAAATACTACAAAAATATGTACTTGATGAGAGACAGCTTTTTTACTCTCTTGTTGCCTTGTTACCTTCTCATAATACTAGTTCTTGATTTTTTCTAAATAATTTTGCCTACCTTAGCTTAACTTTAAATTTTAAGTATTACAAAGTTCCTCACACTGTGATTGGATGAATAGATCACTTTAGTAAAAGAAATAAACAAGATCCTATTGATCACTTCACATGTCTAAATACATTTCCCCAGCTCTATAAGAACCTGAGGTCTACCATAAGTCTTATGCTCTGGTACGAGTGAATAAGGATACTGTCAACTCTTATATCATTGGCTAAGAGAAAGAGAAAAAACATATTCTTCCCTTCTTCTATTAAGAAAGAAAAAGGAAGACTAGGCTCAAAGAAATACAGAATGAGAATGATGCCTTAAAAATATCACACCTATTCTTTATCAGCATGAATTTTGGGAGATCAAGGAGATCTTAGGATTATTTGCATCTAATCAACAACATCAATATATAGTCATACAATCCTATGTAACTGAAGAATATGTTACAGGGACATTAAACAATGGTTCAATTTTTACAGATAGTAGTATCCTGGAGAAAACAGTATGATATTTATCAAGCTGAAAAAAGTGTATGCTGGAAGAAACAAGACCTTTCTAGGTTGGAGGTTTTTGTAATCTCCAGTGCTTTTTTACTTATGTCCTAGAGCTCTTTGAAATTTGACATATCATCACCTAAAAGAACATCAATAGAAGATCCCATACTGGATAGGATATGGAAGGAAAAGGAATAAACTGGCAGACAAGGATCACAACATAAAGATACTGAAAGCAGTGAAGGAACAGACAGTATGTCCTGAACTAATGAAACCCTCAAAGAGTAACCGGCCTATAGTATCAACATGGTAGTAGTAGTGTGTTTCCAAGTCATCCATAATCAAACCATTTCCCCTCCTCCTTCCAGTGCCTTTTTTGCAATGTAGAATCTTTACCCTTGTTTAAATTTGTATAATCCTAACATCATTTTTCTTCCTTGAATAAAAATAGTAGAGTAGGGTATCAAACACAATAACAAAACAGACCAGAGTATCTGTGATAGATACAGATTCATTACAAACACTAACCTCCTTAAAAAATTTTTATCACCCAATGGCCCTTTCATCAGGTCTCTGTCTGAAGATGGTTTAGCTATGAAGTGGTTTTTTAACCTATCATTAGTTTAATAGTTTGTCATTGTTTTCTTTTGGTCGTATGTACCTATACAGTAAAACCTTGCTAATAAACTTGGCCAAGCCAGCATTAAAAAATAATAATAATAATAATAACACATAATATAAATTATCATCATGAAAGTGAAGATAGTCAAAGCTAAAGTAGGATCACGAAAGGTTAATTGTCGCCTTGAACCAGGATTTTGGGGGGTCTCTATATGTACTGATAAGCTCCTCAAGAAAATCGGTGGTAAAATTAGCAGAAAGTTGACTCCGGAAGAAAAAGATAGTAAATTCGTCAGAGAAGAATTATGAATCCATCACAATCCCGACTGAAGTACTTGTAGAAAAATATGACTCCAAGACGCCTAATTATATCCTGCTTGGTAATAATTGGTTCTATGGACGCAATAACGATGGGCTTCAGACGTATTTACCGGAAATAGTAACAGATGCAGAAAACGCTTTTGTAAGAACCACCTTGCGCATTAAGGACCTCAGCCGGAAAGTTGGCACAACCAAAGCTAAAAAGAAACCAAGGGTTAATGTATCTATTAATAAAAGAGATATTCATGATTTTTATTGCATAGCAATGGGCTCGCCCTACAAAATACTTCCTGGGAAATCGAAAGATTCACTATCCCACAGATCAAATATCTCTGCAACTTCTAATTCGGGCACTTCTGATTCAGATACTTCAGACAACGATTCAGGTGATTCTTCCACATCTAGTTCGGGAATAGAAGTTATACATATGAAACGTCCCATTCTAAAGCGTAAAGTAAAAGGTAAAGTTAAATATCGAGCTTTATAGGGCCTTGACCATGCTTCGCATAATGAAGCTAGTATCTCTGACACAAATCTCATCACGTTATAATGGGCGATGTCATGTATAGGCTAGAAGAGCCATTGTTCTACAATAAAAAATCAAAGAAAATCGAGTGTCCACTACCCGTTCTTTATTATAACGGAATTAGTGCTAAAGCACATATGAAAAAATTGCCAAACGGCATACAGATAAAAAAAAAAGATATATGATTAATCAGATAGGCTCGCGCCAGAAAGGATGGATCAGTTATATGCTTGATCTAACATTTCCTCGCGTTGACCAGGATTTAGACATTCATTGTCATCATTCTTCTTATCACGCTCTAAATTATCTTTTGACGTTTTCCCCCAGGTCTTTTTATCTATTTTTTATTAAAGACATAGTTCTGTTAGCCACATGTGTATATGACGAGATTATGTTTCATGGAGAAATTATATCACAAAAATCACTTACAAGATAAATTTTGTCTCGGCTTCCTTTGTTTGCTGACTCTTGGTGCGGAAAATGATAGGATGCTAGAATAATTGGTCTCGGAGATTTTATTATCGTTACTCTTGGAGGTGGTGTTATTGTTGCTCTTGGGAACGGTGTTATCGTTAGTACTTCTCAGTCCTAAATTGAAAGTTCACAGTAAGTAAATATGTTTTTATAGTCTTAATTAATAGCGGTACATTGAACGACGGTACATTACTTCAAATTAGCATTAAAAAACGTTATTGGTACCCATCTTACAAGAGGAAAAAATAAAGTATTTTATACTGTCCAGAACCATTAAATCTATTCCAAAGCCAACTCCATTTTCGTTATTTTTTCGGTTAACTACTTAGCATGGCCAGGTTTTGCCTGCGTTTGCATCCGGTAAAACACCCCTTAATTTCGACGACCCACCGGGAGAGTAAAAAAGTCGATGATCGCGATGATCTAGGAAATTCAAAGTCATTGTAGCATATGAACTTTGATTAAACTACTAATGCGAAATGATAACCCCATTCCCCTTATGGTTCTTTTAAAACTAATTAGTGTTCCCTTGCCGGAGGTGGCTATAGCGGGTACATATGAGATAAGGAAAGTATATACTGTAAATCGCGTTACGTATTTAATCGACGAATCAGTGATCAACGTAGAAGTTTGTGAAACATGCGTAAATCTTTTTTTTCGCTATACGTATTTAGGCTAGAAGGTCAACTCGACAATCTTCATTAGTGCGTATGTTGAAAGACTTATGTTGTAGGAAGTCGAAATCTCCGCAATCTCCGAGATCGTCGTATGTCTACCAACTTTGTAACCTGCGTAATCCATATACTATAAATAGACACTGATCCGTCCAAAAAAATTTTCATTCTATTCCTTGCATTATCTCACTTCAGCCGGAGGTCATAACGCATAGCATAAACCAGATTCATTACGCCATACGCCATTATAAAAAACTGTCTTCTCACGATTCAACACCCTCCTCACCAATCTCTGCAACCTCTACTTTAACGGAAGAAAGGTCAACACGAACAATGGCGGACGTTGGGAGAGATCTAGACACAGAGGAGCTTATTAACTATTTACAGAGGCGAGATCTAAAACTTATTGAGGCGGATTTCAAGATCCTACGTAATGAAAGGATTTTTGGCCGTGCATTTCTGAGGAAAAGCTTGAGCAATATGGCATGAAAGGAGGACCAGCAACCGTTCTTGTAGATTTTATCGAGCAAAAATTAAGAGGTTTCTCGACATATAAAGCGGTGGAGGAGTTGAAAGAAGTCTTAAGAAAATACAAGGTTAACGGTGAGGATATAACAAGCATCAAGCAATTCATTCCAGGTATGTTGTATTTCAATAGGTCATTTTTTTCTATTCTGGGAAGAATGAAGCTTTGCTTCTGGAAAAGTGAATTATTTGTGAACCAAGTTCACGAAGTGACTGAGACGTTTTTCTGTTTATAGATTCCGTAAAAATCGATGATGACGATAAAGCCCTTAAACAGTGTATGAACGAAATAATACTACGGTTAACGAATGTAAAATCAATTATAGAGGCTAACGAAGCAACGCGTTGAAGAAGCGTCCGGAAGAGTTGATTACGCTATAACTGGGATGGAGGATCTTTTGTGTATCACTGAGGGAAAACCATGAGATGTTAAGATTGGCTACCTTCAAAATATAAAACAACTCGAGAGTTCCCTCCACATGAACAAGAAGAAGCGAACCGCAGATGAAGCGTTCAAGGGTGAAGATTACGACTATCTATATGGGATTGTGTCAACGGGTATGTGAAACTATTCTTGATATTTAGTAAGGGAGAGACCCCGGGTTTCGCGGTTATGTATTTTACTGATTATCGGACTTATTTTTAGGTGCGGATTGGCATTTTATCATGTTTACTTCCGAAGGTATTTTTTGTACAAGTAATAGTGAATATCAGATAAATCTTACGAAAAAGGCACTTAAAGGAAATCAGGAAAATTTGAAAGATGATATAAAATAGGTGATTAGTATAATCGTGGGGTTATTGAAAGATAGAGTGTTGGCGTGTGATGAGCCTGAAAATAAGAAGAGGCGACGCGTGCAAGAAAAAATTACCAAAAAATAGCCACTCTGTTTGCCTCTGGCGATGTATATATAGTTATTCCATCTCACATGTCTAAAGCAATAACTGTACAATTTTATTAAATAAATCGGGAATTTTTCTAGGAAAAAATGATCGGCGTTACAATTTGTAACGCGCACGTGATTTTTCGAATAAATCTGTGCCTCATAAAAAGTTAAAGGAATGCAACACGAAAAATACGAATTTTCTCATGGAGGTGACCCAAATAATTCTACTCAAGAAAGAATTGTGCGAATTTTATTAATTTTCAAGGGAATGCGAAATAATCGAGTCTATTCATGTTGATCCCTTAATGGTGCTAATTTTTTTGCGATGCCAACTTCAGAGTATCGGCTCACCCTTCTTTTTTTTCTATGTTCGATTAATCCATTTCGTGTTGAATTAACACATAACTATATTTACAAAAAATGCAATTGTTAATTTTGATGAGCACATAAAATGCAGATAGATAATGAAAGCATGTAAGTACTTACAGCCCATTTGATTATTGCCTCATATAACCACACAAAGTTTGGCATATCAACCCAGCTTTTCGGTAGGCAGAAATGACCAACCTCGAATAACCTATGTACACCTGGAATTGAATGTGATCAACTTTCTCATTTTATGAAACGTTTTAATACAAATTTATGTAATGCAAACTTCTAAGATCCATCATTGTTAGTGACAATTCGGTTTTGAATGCAGTTAAACCATAAACTCTTAAGTCTTTAAAAAGTTGTCGGCGTGCATCAGCTTCTTCTATGACGATATTGTTATATAATGTTGCCATGCTACTTGCATTCTTGATATCATCATCCACGCTTTTTTTTCTGTGGTGCACCCGGTCTAGCTCCCTCACCACAAACTATAGGGTAGTTTACTACGTCATTGAGAAATCCTACTCCATCGGCCCGTATTCTACGTAGTTCCAAGACCTTTCAGAGGCATTTCACCACTATATAATATGAAAGCATTTTATTCATTATATAATTTATGTAGATAAACATAAGTTCAAGCTACTTGCTACGTGTAATTAACCTTGGCAAAATTCCACAATGCCGAGTCGATTATTGGGTGCACAAACTGGTTAAGATGCGGCCTTTCCAGGATTGTAATATCCCTCAACGGATTAATATCCTCCAATGAAAACGCTTTTAAACTAAAACGAATAAAAAATAGATAATAAATTGGACAAATGTTACTATAATAAATTGCGTAAGTTCTCTCTTGTCCTTACAATTTAGGTCAAGTTTCCTGTATTAATTTTTTAATATTCCTCAAGTGTTCTGAATCACTTCTATTGAAGTCTATATTGTTGATGGCATTATCCCAGCCCTGCGCAGTGAAATCTTCATTGAAAAACGACGTAAGATATTCGTGGATATCATCAATAATATATTTGTCAATTTCATCAAAAACTTCGTGCAAAATGGTTTTTTGAAGTTCCAAATCCAGAAATAATGAAAATTTTGATTTTGGCGTAGATCCATTATAGATGTCTTGGGGAATTTACCTAAAAAGATTTTTGTAACTTCCTTTATGACAGATGAAACTTGAATCGAGTCTTCAAGGATATCCTTAACACACATCGTCTATAGAAAAATTGTTATTTTTCCTAAAATACCAACGGAAAATATTACCGGAAATGAATTTTACTAACACTACTTTCGTCGGCAATTACATCTTCACCTTCGTTTTCTTCCTGTTTATTTTCTTCTTGTTCATTATTAACAGTAGTCTGTGTTTTTGTACTGGAACCTTGATTTTCAGAGCCCCTTTATGTCACGATCGTTATTCAAAGACTGGAGTATATCAAGAGACTCAATAAAATTATCTGATTGGATAATTTTCCAGGAATTTATTAAATAATAATACTTACTCTTGCAAATTTTTCGCTAGTCTTTCCTGTCATGGACGTTTTATCAGTAACGACACTTAATTCAACATTTATTTTATATCGATTCTATGATAATATATAAAAAATTAATCTTTAATCATAAAGTACACACAATAGATCAGTGTTACCAACCTCAGCAAATCTTAGATCTTGACTTTCAATGAAACTCAAAATCTCTCTTCATTTTGTGAGAGTCTCCTGCAGGTTTTCAAGAAGTTTGATAGCCCTGTTTCTTGCTGCCACGCGAAGACTTTTGTGATCAGATAAAATTTCTAATTGTCTTTTCAAGGAGTCACCAATATCATTCATATTTTCACTTGTAAAATTAATGTTATTCGATATGTAGCGCAGGACTTCAAATACACTCCATCCGGTATAATCATTCAATCGAAAGTAATCTATAATTTGATTTTCAAAATCCATCCTTATAAAAATAAAACTAATTAGATTCACGAAAGAAAAATGCAAAAAGTCAAAAGCATGCAAGAATGATACGAAGATACTGGCTTGATGCAATGCTTTCTGGTTAGAGAATGGAAGGCATAAACTACCATGAGAAAGTTTGCCTCAGTGGGCAAACAATACGTCAAAGAGGGTAGCCCCCCAGATCTCTACCAAGCATCCGCCACAGGGAGGTACATAACGCAATTGCTATGCTTCGCCCTGCAGGTGTAGGAAGCACTACATCCAATATACTAGATTCAAGAACACAGGCGTGAACTACAATGAGAAAGTCCATTCAGGCGAATGAACGATGCGTCAAAGAGGATAGCCTACGCCTTACTCTAAACAACAACCGCAGGAATTGACTAGATAGTAATCTCGCTCTGCCATACGGGTGTCAGATATTGTGGGTCGTCAGAAGTAATCTGATTTCAACTTTCCTTGATAATAGCGGTGAAAAAAAAAAAGATTTTTGTTGATCGATTTCACGTCAATCAGTTTAATGGACGCGTTTTGATAAGATAACGATCATATCGATATGTCAATTTCGTCAGCTCAATGGTTTAAAAAACATGTTATAAATGTACGAGATATTAACTTTACTACTATTACATTGTTATAAAAATTTTTAACGGTTGTCTGCTTTTAAATTCACGAATGCGCATTGTTAAGGTAATATTCGCATACTAGATTCAATTAAATCCTGCAATCAGAAATAATGATCAATATTCTTTATTTTAGTCGAAAGCTCAAACACGCAATTAAGGTATGAATACTTCATTTGTGACAATGAACCACCTTCTGGACTTACAAACTTATAACCACTCTTTCGTACAGATTTCCGAGAAATTTATTAATACTGCAAAAGGTAAGCAATATAAACTTTCGACCTTCTTCTCTAGAGTTCGAAAAAGACAAGTCCGGATAACGGACAACACATTGGGGATTGCATGCTTCGTATTGACATTTTTATTCTATCCAGAATATGATAATAAATAAAACTGTATCACAGTTAATGTTGTAGTTTAGATAATTTAGATACAGTATGTGGAGAATTTATAACGTAGACACTAGTATGTAACCATAGATAGATTTGATTCTTTTGATTAATTTTTACAATAAGAATGTTAATGCGATTTTTACAGATATTTTTTTCGTGTGATTAACCTTTTGAATATACTGTATCTACATCTTGTATAAAACAATGTTAAACGATCAATTAACAATCAATACCTTGAGAGAATTAAACTCTAGGTTTGCATCCGAGATTACTGAACTTAGAAAAGAGAATGCTGAGATTCCTGAACTTAGAAAAAAATTTTCCGAAGTTGAGGCTGAGAACATCGAACTTAAAGCTGAGAACGTAAAATTAAAACAAGCTTTGGAAGAACATGAATCCAGATTTGTGAAACTGGAGCAGAATGATAGAAATACTGCTGTTGAAAATGCTGAGCTTAAAGCTGTTGGTATCAAAGGTATTGCTTGACTTTTCTTGATCACTAGGAGTCAAGTTTTTGAGTGAAGAGGTTTATAAACAATAGGGGAAGGGTAGAAGTGACTCTTGAAGTCATACTTCAAGTTGTTTTAAGGAAAGTATTAAGACT